TCTAGGGGGTTTTCAGCCAAATTGTATAATATTTTTGATAGTCATAGGTTTTTTTTTTACACATGCTCTCATAAGGCAGTGCAGACTCTAAACAACACTTCAGTAATTTTAAACATCCATCATCATCCTCAGCTTTACTCACATTGTTTAACATTCCTCCATTTTCTTCTTGATTGAGTGCTCAGTGGAAAATCTCATGATGCCATTTCTGACCTTAGGTTTCAGGTCGGGACCCGGCAAGAAAAAAAAAAGTATACACCAGAAATCAAAGATAAGAGTGGGCCAATATCTGCACTGGAAAATCTGCAACTTCTACGGGAAGGAAACTGAAAGAAACTGGTATGAACACCACCCGGACCCGGTTACGGAGATAGAACCTGTTACAATTCTATGGGACTACACAATACACACTGACAGAACAATCAAAGCCAACCGTCCAGATATTGTTATTAAATACCACAAACAAAAACGGTGCCTCCTTATTGATATGGCAGTCCCTGCTGACTGCAATGTATCTTTGAAGATATTCAAAAAGTTGTCAAAGTACAAGGACCTTGAAATAGAAATCGCGAAAATGTGGCATATGGGAACATCAACAATCCCTGTTGTAGTTGGAGCCCTAGGACTGGTTGGAAAAGATTGCAGTAGACTAATTGAAGGGATACCTGGAAATCCATGCCTCAACTACAGTCCACACTTTACGAAGGGCTTTATCTATGTAATTTTTTTTTTTTTTTGTCAGTGGAAAGTGTCATGATGCCAGCTCTAAACTTAGGTCCCTGGGCTGGACCCGGAAAGAAATGTGTAAACGCCAGAAATCAAAGAAAATAAAAAAAAAATAAAAATAATTGTGAATATGTTTTTATATCACTTGTCATGAGAGAAAGAGATCAGCCAAGATATTTCAACGAGACACACTTTACATATCAAAGAACCGCGAGTCGCTTGTGAGCAAGAATATCTATCTATCTATCTATCTATCTATCTATCTATCTATCTATCTATCTATCTATCTATCTATCTATCTATTTTTCTTTCTTTCTCAATCTGTTCCAATCTATATTTCTCATCTGAATCCACCCCTGCTTCAGTTGAAGACGTCTAAAATTTCTCTAAGTAATCCAAATCAAGTAGAAGTGAATCGTGGTGTTTTTTCAGTTTTTTTAGCAGAAAAGTATCCCTAGACTTGACTGTATCTGTCAACTGTCGTGTCGTGCTAGTAAAGTAACAAGACGCCTTTATTAAGATTGGGATACAATGCAGGTATATATATATATATATATATATATATATATATATAGCATAAAAAGCAAGAAATGTTATATTATAGGCCATGAGAGATTTAAATTAAAAGCAAAAACACACACCAGTCGACCGGTTTCGTCCCCTCTCATCACAACTGTTAACGGGGAACACAAATTATGAAGCGAAAAAAAAAGAAAAGAAAAAAGTCTGTCATGGATGACATGACTGGGTAGACAGGGAGAAAAAAATATAATTATAAAA